GACCAATATCCTGGTTTGTAGTTTTTCCATCGCCTCTCTACTTCCTTTCTAAAGAATAACTTCCTTCTAACAAGCAACGGCGAGGAAAATTATACTATAATTTGTTTAATTAATTGAGTTATCGTCATCATAGTTATTCTAAACAACACTTCGGGTTTCTAATTATTTATAAACCAACTTTTGAGATAAATTTTCTGAAAATGAGTAATAATTGTTAGGCATTTATTTAACGGATCGGTATAGGTTCATGTGGAGCAAGTCATAATGTTAGCTAAGGAGCACAATTTGGTCATTTTGGCTTGTGATGGTGAAATATTGAGTCACAGCTGTCTAAAATTAAGGCAATGTCAGAGAAATCCGTTAAAATGTAGTTTCTTTAATTTCAGCATTAATTCCTTTCGCGCTCTAAATAAGCACTATTCCTTACTGCTTGGGTAACTAGAAGATTGCACTTTTCAGTAATCTATCGAGGAAATTCGTTCCGGTTAAAATATTAAAGCAGAGTATCGAAATTCTTTAGAAATACCAGGTGTTGAATGGATGCAAATAGACAAGATACGAGATTCACGGCAAATTAACTAGTTAATTCAAAAGGTGTTTCAGCGTTTTAAACAAGCGGCAATATTTTCAACTCTTAATAACTTCTTCTAATTTATTCGTATTTTTCAAACTGATTTCAGTCGAATGGATAAATAAATTAGGGTGGCGGATAAAACAGAATGTGATGGAATCATTACGGGGTGATTGAGGGATACCTTCCTATTTTCAAAATCAAAAAAATTTAATTAATTTCTCGTCTCTTATAAAAAATGAAAGGACCGCACACAACTCAAAATTCATCTTCTGCAGTTTCATATGTCGATCGCGACTCCGTTATAAAACTGCAGTTTCCGGCGATCTCTGCAGCAACCTTAGTATGTACTTCTGTAAAGGCTTGTCACATCTACCAACTTGAACAGCTTCTTAAAAGTTACATGGTTAGATCGCCCATATATTAACGCTCTTTTTAGTCACCTTGTTTAAAGGACGGCTTGACTTAATGAATCGCATTTCCTTTAAGATCTCAAGGTGAACAAGAAGGGCTATTTCACACTTTGAAAGTAAAACTAAGGCTAGAATGAAATATATATAAATATTAATACAATTATTCACATAATTCAATAGAAAACTGAAATGCAAAATGAATCATATTTTACTTAATTTTATCTCTTATATCCTTACCATAATTGCTCAAATTAGTGTCCGTTCCCTCCAATTAGTACGTCGACTTAATTAATGATCACGTTCAAAACAATAATGACGACTGTCATTGTGTAGTAACACAAAGTACGAAAAACTGTATTGTGAGAACATCGCATTCCACTCCGACCCCCCCCTCCCCTTAAATATATACAAGTCGATCTCGGGTAGTAGGTACTGTTCATTGTGCGTGTTCTAATTAATGTTGCAGAACCAGATCTCAAATGTCGAGCGGAGGCATACTCCAAAGTTGGGTTATGAGAGCACGTAAATTTGCAGCTTATTTAGACTAATTAGTCGCCCTCCTCTCTCCCTACTTTGCAGAGTCCAATTAGCTGGTTTGAGCGACCAGAGTCAAGTCGATACTGCGTACTCACGTTTCAAATAAACCTTCCCGTTTCAGCCTGTCAATTGTCGATAGTTGAAAGGGGGGACTAACTGCGTAGCAATTAGACATTATTATCCCTACTTCCTACTCTTTCTACTACCACTCGTTTTCATGACTTTACTACTCAGCCACCATTTTTAAATTAGGGTGTGTGGGTGAAAAGGGTGTTATTAGCACCCTGGTTTGAGCTAAGATGGTAATCTGGTTCTTTCCGCGCCGCGACCACAATAGGGGTGGGGGGGGGGGGGGGTTGGGTGGTATAATTTGATGATTAAAATAATTAAGCTGCGCGCACGTTCTATGCACCCCCCTCCCCCCACCCCAACCCCTCTCACTCGCATTTGTTAAACAGACAGCCTGGATTGAGCGAAAGTGCTACCGGAAAACCATTAAATTAACTGACCACAAATGGATGCTGGAGTTGGAGTGGGGTGGGGAATAGAACTCCATCGCTTTCCTGCTTGACTGGGGATTTATCCCCACTTAAATCTCTCGCTCTCTCCTACTCAGTCATATTGCATCGTTCACTATGCCTACCCCTTCTCGTAAAGTTAATTACTCCCTTTTTAATAAGTGCGCTAACCTGTCACCCTAACGTAGGTGTCGAAACTGTGAAAGCAATGGGAAAATTAATGTAATGTAACCAGGTAGCCGAGCACAATTTAATCTCTCTTTCATTTCGTATTCACGAAATGATTTGTTAAGCGTACAAGTGCGCCCAATTGGCCTATTTCTCACTTGCCTAACTTTTATGAACAGGTGTCAAATGTGATAGTTGATGGCTTTATTTAATTGGCATTAGCTAAGCAGATGGGAGAAGAAATTAATTAAAGGTCATGACCAATACTTTGCTACTTGATGAGTTTTTCAAATGTTTGCAGATGGTTACACAAAATTCAAAAATAGCCGCGTGTTCACTTTCAATAAAAATGAGGCACCCATTAATAATTTTCTTATCTACCTCTATACAATAAGTAACTATTACGCCTAATGCTACCTTAGTTATTTCACTCCCCAATGACTACTCCTTTTCATCAATTAACTTAAAGTAGTCCGATTATCAGTACATAAAGATTTGCCATTTGGATTTGTCTACCGGAGGGAGAGATGGAGTTAAAAACTACTGAAGGAACTGGTAAATTGCTTGATTAAGCGTGTCGCCATCCCTGCTAGGCACTTGAGGCGTGGAGCAGCAGCGGTATTTCATTTCTATTCTTTTTTCTTTCTCAACAGGCGGCACGTATGCGACGAATGTATGCTCCACAATTTCCTACTCTCACTCTTTCCAATTTGTCAGCAATTTGCATGGTCTCCAGTGGTGGCCTTCACTTAAATCTAGTTACGGTTTGATGCACCAACCTTTTTTATATCGTCCATCTTAAACATTTCCATTCATTTCTTTCTCACTTTACCTCTCTCTCTCTTCATTGCTGTATGATCGTATACTTCAAGGCCAAATTAATTAACTGATTTACTGTTGTTAAATTGAGTGTAATACGAAGGGATATTGTGTATAATTTTTATGTTTAGTTAGGTTAATACAGTTGTGGAGAGAATACAAAAGAGCCAACGTGTGATTAAACTAGGACATTTTTCACGTTAAATCAAGACACGATGACACGTCATTAATTAAAATCATGACTTCATACTAAAACAAGGTTTCAAATGATTTAATTAACTAACAAGAAAGTAGGCATTCTGAGGACGGGTTGATCTAAACTCGCTTCCTACAATCCAATCACTAGATTAGTAACTATAAGATACAATTTTGCAAACCAAGACTAGATAAAGGCTTTCGATAACTATACTGGTGCGCCCAGATTACCAGGTAAATATAATATTATGTTCAATATAAAACTCGGCTCTCAAACCGCTTTATCTCGGGCGGAAGAGTGAAATCATCTAGCCATCTTGGTGAGAACCTCAAATTTTGGTACTAGCTGACTTCCTATTGACCTCTGGTTCAGCGGAATAACATTATTTCTAATTCTAAATTACATGGCCATAGCTCGTTTGCTCCCATTTTAGATGACGAATTACCTAAAGTATGTTTTCACCGTGGTGGTCGTCGTCTCAGTCTTATGTTCTCAGTCTACACGTTTCCTATCTTAATTCTCTGCTGCACATTCCGTTAAATATCCCCTTTCAGCCCTATTTGAACTGCGACTCTTGATCCTTATCGTGAATCAATAATATCATCATGCACTTTAGTTTTTGGAGTGCAATAAATGTGGCCAGAGTGAGTGAAAAAAATTTTAAGATTATATTTTCGAAATCAATAATGCAGCCATGATAAAGTCTTGTAAGTGTATAACTTGTCAATTAACTTCGATAAAATTAATTGAATGATTTGATTTGTCGTGATAATGATTTCATTAATGGACCACTTTCTAAAATATTACATCACCTTTATATTTGGTATGCGAAAATTTCCCCTTTTTTTAATTTGCCAATTAAGTTCGTTTTAAACTACCGTGGCCGATTAATTTCGTGCGTTTTTTAAACAGCACAGCTAATTGAAATTTCCTAATTGCAAACTCAATTATGCAAACAATTAGTCCGGTAGGAAGTAACCAATCGATAGAGAGCCTAATTGGCTTGTGCCTGTAGCCCCTCCTAAGCCGATTACTCTCTCTGCTATGGTTAATTTTAACCAAGGGAGAAGCCAAGCCATAAATAATTTTATAATAACTTAATTAAAAAATGTATAATTATGGTAAAATTAGCCCATTTTTAGTTCCTACCATAATATAATTTTAATGAGTGCGGGACCGAAATGCCATTCAATTGTCTCCACACGCAAGTGCGTTCGCCATAATTACCACTACGTACGCACCATCGACACGATTCAGTGAATTTCGGCCTAAGCTCCTACCGATGCTGCCAAAGTTTTTTTCCCAAGAACTTCTGGCTTATATTGACTCAGACTAAGGGAATTATGACTTTTTAATCACCCTTCCTTCTCCATGCATTTGGAAAGAGGGTGAAAATGGAGGGAGAGAGGATAATTAGCTTGAAAACTCTCCCGATCTCGTGCCGAGGGGCACCTTCAAGCTCCAACACACGCTAATTGTGCGGTAAGCGCGTTCGGTTAATTGAGCAAACACGGCCGCACTTAATCAGCTGATTACGCCCACTAATAACATTAGCGGGTAGCGCGAGTTTGTGAGACGGACAGACGGTAGTGTGTGAGACGGACAGGTGCAGTCTCGCGCACTCGTCTACCGCACATTGCGTGCGCGTACTGAGAGTGCGTGGGTGGAAGCGGACTCAGGGACTTGTGCTTTTGAGGCAGAAAGCTTCATCGGCGTACACAACACAGTAACGCACTTGACCAAAACGAGACCCCTTGAGACGTTGCATTGGGACGACTATGGCTTCTTTCAGAGTGGATCATATTCTCAATAACCAAGAGGAGGACAGTAACCCCGACGACGACGAACCAGGTATAAAAGATCTTACGGCCGCCTCTCAAGTTCAGACCACCCAAGTAGTTGATGATCGGAAATCCGGTAAGCTATCTTTCCACTTGTAATTATGAGCCTCCAATGCCATCAGAATTCGTGTAAATCTATCAATCTACGGCTTTAAATAAAGTGAATAATTACTTTGCTATTATTATTGCACTTGATGTAAGAAATAGATGGAAGAAGCCTTAGTTTAGCGTACATGAGTCATTTAAGAGATTAAAATTTCCAACAGTTAGGGGATTAAACGCACCAATGAGTTTTTGAGATACGTTATTGTTTAATTAGTGTCTTAATTGCCACACTAATAATTTGAATTCAATCACTCCTCCTCTTTTTATTGAATTTGCATAAAAGTTAAATTATTACCGCGTTTAAAAGAAACCAAATAGATAAAAAGAAAATCTCTCACTATTTATCCAATTCACTTAGACTGAACTAAAGGGGAATGAATTGATCAAATCGACCCGTATCTCGGCCAGTTAATCATCTTGGTTAATTAATGTAGTCTCGCTGGCTTTCAAACGATGTGTTTCTTGTCATATAAGCTGATAGGAGTTGTGGTCTGTGTTAATAATATCTCCAAAAAAGCCACTTAACATGTATGCCTTAAAAATAGAGGCAACTAATGTGTTTATCAAGATTAACTTCCCCTCAGATGTTTCGCTTGGCTTCCCTTTAACCCCTATTTCAAATTAACCGCTTAGCATTAAGTGGAACTTCTATATATTATAACGATGCTATCATCTAGAGTGAGAGGTCTGTTTGCTAACCAATTTAGGTATCTCACTTATTTAATCGGCATTGCACGGTTGAAATTATACATTTAAAATGACTCACAATTGTATTGCTCGGCGTGAATAAAATTAAGTTTCGCATTTAACCTAGAGGCATTGATTTTCGAATAAACCTGGTAATTCGCCTATTATTGATTTCAACCTACCACAAAAAGTCAAATTCCACGCCTTACAAAATTTTATCGATTTTTGATAAGTAGCAGGTACCACCTGTGGCAACCTTTTCTCGTTTTATTTAGGCTAAAGTGAACTTGCGTAAACTAATTAAAGAGTAGGATGAATTGGATACAATTTGCTTAATTTACCTGGCAATTTATTTTTCATCGCGTCCATTTACGTGTCTGGTTGGGAAAATGGGTCGGTCAATTAAAGGTGATTGTAAGCGTCGTTGTGCGTGTTGATGTGGTACACACAATTGTTGCTTCGACAGACCCATTTACAGGATTTCCATAGCGTTCCAATTTGGAGATAAAGAAGCTTTTATATTTTTGCACGGCCTATCAGTAGTTGTCATTGAAGTCAGTGCAACCAACGCATCTCTTCATCATTCTAACATCAATAAAAGCCTCAGAAGGGAGATACTGCGAAGGGCTTTGCAGCTACAATGTTACTGCGTTGCCCTCTATTTTAGATACGTCTGTCCCTTTGAAAATACCAACGTTTTTCAAGTGCTTAATTAATGCTTAAGCATGGGACGACCTATGAATAAAGCGCGGCAAACACACTCATTCCTCATTCATTATTACAGCGATTGTGATACGCCGTTGAGTTTGTTTCCTGGAGCAATTAAATGGTCAATCTGATAACTCCAAGACGATGCTTTATTCAGGCGCTTTGAGACGATAAGTTGGGTTATTGGGTTGGAAGCAATAAAAAGTGCACTTTTGATAGGAAAAAACTTTAGTTATTAGTTTGAATATCATCATAGGGGGGAGATAGACGGTGAGATTAAATACGTTTGCGATAAATCGAAACTCTAATACGATTTCCATATACAAAATGGTATTATTATTTACTTGACTCAATAAAACCGAATAAATATTTTGGGCTGAAAAAGACTTGAAAAACACTTTCACCTCTTCTGAGATTAATAGTGGGGATAATAATGTTATTGAACTTGTGAAGAATTTCATTTAATTTACATCACCAAGTGTAAAGTCTGTTTACACTTCAACGTGACATAAATAAACAAACTCATTGATTCCACAATGACTTTAACAAACCGACCAATGACAATATAAACTCGATACAGTACTTACCGAACATTTAGAAATGCGGTAAAATATTCATGAAAACTGAGGAAAGCTTAACTTTGGCAGCAACCATACCTTAACGCCGAATTAATTCTCAATAGCTTAGTTACATATTCCCCATTGATGGTCGAAAACTTATTCTAATTTCTTTAAATATAGAATACTCAAATAGTACTTACGTTCTGCAAATTTGGGTATTTAGTATAAGTAATAAGTGAGTGCGTTTCATTTACGTATTTTGTGATTTGCATACAAATTTGTTATTTTATAATTTAATGAGTTAACAGTCAAACTTAAATTATGTTTTCAGAGTCATCTGTTCCATCCGGAAATACTAGTGTAAGCAGTAACGGTTTTGGACGAGTTGACTTCAGTGCCCTGTTACAGCAGCATCAGTCACACCCCTCATGCCTCAATTTATCCTCATTATTAGCTCTCCAAGAGAGTGAATACTTCCAACTACCTAGAACAGATCCTAGCTTCTTCACCAATGCTACTTTACAGAATCATCAAAAGCAACAACAACATTATCAGACCCAAAAGCAGCAGATAATGCGAGCAGCGGAAAATGGGGAGCAACTTCAAGGCATGCCGAGTGGGGTCGGTGCTAGCAAACATCGAAGAGCTCGAACGGCTTTCACGTATGGTCAGTTAGTTGCCCTAGAGAGTAAATTCAAGACAACTCGATATCTATCAGTTTGTGAGCGAATGAACATGGCATTGTCTCTCAACCTAACGGAAACCCAGGTTTGTCATTAATTGACCTATTTCATTTTGTTCATTGTTAATGGAGTATCTATGAATGGTGACTCTTTTCTGGCTATATTTTCACTTATTCCTCCCTAAATGTTAAAAATCAATTTCTTTGGGGTTTTGTTGTGAAAAGTTTCATTTTATCTCATTTCGTTTAAGTGCTCAATGGAATTTCGAAGAATGCACCTGCTTACATGAGTTTGAATTAAGTCTAATATCTCCTTCTCCCCAATAAATTCCTCTTAATTTTAGGTGAGTTTTATGAATTTGTGAGATGTTATGATTCGCGTTAGATTTATTCAATAGTAACGTGTTCACTGACTCTCAATAAATTTGTGAAAAATAATGACTTTTACCTTTTATTTTATTCAAATCAATTCCGAATTTATTGTTTAATGCGGATCAGTTTAATTATTCACAAATTAACATTTGGAGTGCCAAAATGGATGCGTAATTTTTTTCATTTTGGTGTCTGATAGCAGTCATTTTGTCTTTTATTTACTTACTAAGGAAAGTTTTATTTCAGCTGACAATGAGACGGATGGCCTAACCCCGTTAATTTGGTCTAATTGGTCGCTAAGAGGGGGAGAGAGGAGACAGAGAAGGCAATTAGGAGATCATTAGACGAATGTGAATGCGTCCAAATCATTCACTCACTCATCATGCCTCCAATTAGCCCACGCTGTATGTCATTAATTCCCCCCCCCCCCCTCCTCTGCTCTGAGCAAATGATTTCCCGACCAATTTGTCCGCTTCTTCATAGACGATAAACCACGATGCCTATAAATGCAGGTAATTAGTCCTCTAAGCACTCTAATACTCAAACGAAGATGCTTTGGCCGATGTTAAAAGATTCCTTTACTTGACCAGGAAATGAGTCTAATTGCCGACTAACACCTAATTACGCATACATTAAAGAAGGACAGAGACTAAGCATAAACACTGGCAGAGAAGCTTTTAATTTCCGCGTGCGATTGCATTAAGTGAAGTAGAAGGGATGAGGACTAGGGGGGGGGGTAAGGTTATCACAAAGAAACACGCAGTTCCTCATTTTAACGGGCGTACACACAAACGCGTTTCTGCTGTTCCTGTGCATCCTCCCGCCCAAGGTAGAGAGTTTAAACTCCCTGTGTGTGTGTTATTATTTACACTACTCTCTCTCTTTAATGCTCCTCACTCCATCCCCCCACCACCATATTATATCGGTTCTTTAACGGCCCTGCCCGTCATTCTAATTGCACGCGCCGCTGCCGCACTCACTTAAAACGAGCCCGTGAGTGGACGCACGCGCTAATTTGACTGTCCTAATTAGCACGAAGGTAAATGGCGTTGAAATAAAATACGCATTAGAATATAACGGGAGCGTTTGCGCACGTTCATAAGTGCGTCCGTGTGACCCACCTAGTACGCCTGGCACGTTGCAAACGCAGGTGCGGAGTGGTTGCACGTAAAGGTGATACACACGGTGTATGCTAAGTGGGAGATAAAAGGGTAGCAGCAATAAAGGCAAATTGCGTGGAGAGGGGGCGGGATAATTGGGGTGCTGTAGGGTGGTATGGGCGAACCCGAGCCGTCTTTTACAACTCCCTCTCTGAAATTATACCTCCTCTCACGAGTTTATGAGTGAATATGATCTTTGTGGAGTTATTATAGCAACCCCATCCCCCCTCTTTCCCTTTTCTAACCGACGGTCCATTAATTGAGATGGTAAAGGAGGAGAAGGAGAACGAGGACTGAAATTAGGCGGCTTTACGAAAAATGTTCGTATGCCCTCTCATTCACTTTCAGATAACATTAAACAGAGTGTTGAGCATATTAACCACACTATAATTTCCTCCTGTGGATAGTAATTACTGTTTTGCTGAGGAGTTATTATCTGTCCCTCACCCTAAGTCAATCATTATCTTAAGTTATTACTTCCCTACTTATAAGGGAACTTCCAGGTTAGAATCATAAGCAAATATATTGCCAATTCTAAGTAAATGAGGGTGTTCTCGAGTAGGGATACACGATCGTTTATGGATTTAAATCAAATGGGCAACCGACCCTATGTCTTTCATCTTGATTAAAATTAGTTTTAATTTATGATTTATCTACATTTTCCATGATAAAGTCAGAAGATCAATACAAGACCCCTACAATTTTCCTAACCAAAATTGAAAAAATCACCCAATTGATAAGGGTGTCCAACTTATCAATACACGCTGTTTATAATATATCAACTAAATAATTAAGCTACTATCGTCCGAAGTTATTTATGATACTAAGCCACTAAAACGGAGAGCAATGAAAATCAATTGAACTTGACATTGATTTTGATCGCAAAAGCAATAAAAGTATGTTTATAGTTCAAAAAACGGTCTTCAATGCTTGAATATTTAGCAATAAGATTTTAATCATTTAAGCGCAGTTGTATTTCAATATGTAGTAAAGGGTTAAATACATATTAATTACCAATCAACACTAATGGGCGCTAAATAGGGATAATGAAGCCAAACATGCCAAGCAATAAATCACTTTTTTATGGTTAACATAGATAAGACTAGATGTTTGTCATTTACCAGTCAAGTAAAGGTGAACTGCTTAGTATTATCGCGCGGCAATGTTCATAAATGCTTTTTTAAAACCACTAAGTTGCCTTCTGTAATACTGAAGCTGCCAGACCCCAGGTGGAAGACCTGCAATGACTTGTAGCTCAAACAGCGGTCCGCTACTCTTAGAACAAAATATGGCACAGAATTGGGTATGAGATAAATGATTGGCTGGCGGGTTGACCGGGTAGTGATGGGTTCTTCGATTAGGTATTTCGCGTCCACAGCTGTGCATAGATGTCCACTAATCAATGGCTCAGTACATCAGAGGTGAAATTAGGAATTAGGTTTGGCTTCCTGACACACTTCTTAATACTTCAGGTGAAAATATGGTTCCAAAATCGACGAACTAAGTGGAAGAAGGAGAATCCCACTGAACAGCACCACCAATCATCCACCTCCTCCTTGAACTCCCGTAAACAAATCAACAGTCCCGACCAACCACTCTATTACGGTGGTCTTGGGAGCAACCAGTCAGATGTGAGTGAAATGAGTCCTCCCTCCTCGAGTATCCCAGAGTCTCCACCTACAAGAGACCACCAAAGGGAAGATGGAACAAATGCCGTATTGCTAGCTTATGTTTTCAACCAGTTGAGAAATTCGCTTCACAAAGAAGAAAAAAGCACTAATGAGGATGAAATTTTGCAGTCATTTTCAAACAACAGCAATAACAACAACAGTAGTACTTCGGCTACAATCGACCACATAAGCACAAACGGACGATCCAGCAAAGGAGAAGCTGAACAACTAGAACTGCGTACAGGAAGCTGATTGAAGATTTCTCATTGGGATCATCTCCTCTTCTACCAAATTATGAATTCTTTTCTTCGCTTCTCCCCTTTCTTTTTGTACATAGATTTATTTCTAATGTTTAAATGTCCGCGTAATTATATCCAATAAGGCGTCTAGTGAGCAACGCAGCATTATGTGATCACTAGTTTTATTTATTATTTAATCATATTTGACAATAAATAGCTGAAATCACTACTTCTGTGTTCCGGGCAGTCTGTAATTATAAGTGAGAAAATGAATACCATACCGCAGCAGGAGGGTTGCGTGTCAGCCTTGGAAAATGGCAGCCAAGCCAAAAATGACTTCACTAAGATTAGGAGCCCTGCGCTGCGTTTACGGGTGCAAGGTTTGGTATCAATACTGAACAATAGTTTGGTTATTATGCAAAAGAGAAAGTAAGTACAAGATCAGAAATAAGTTGAAATACACCGAGTTATAGGCAAAAATTAACCAATGATTTGTACTCTTTGCAGTGGCATAATTTGAAGAGGTGATGAACACTCAAAAAGCAGTTTGTGTGCATTTAATTACTGCAATACGATACTCGTAATAAATGATGGAAAAGTCCCCAATATGCGTGCAGATCTCAGTTTGCACCAAGAAAGTGCTATGAAGAACAGAAGGTAAGAGTACAGTCACCTCCCCATTGTCTCAACTCGTACAACCAAAGCTGACGTATTATGCAAGCATCAAAATTTGAAGAAATAGCTAATGAGTTAAAAATAAACATCGGTGTTGATAACTGCTATAACCAGGCTTTGAATTTGTAAGCTACGTTAGTCGGCCCAACTTGACATATAGTAATAACGAGAGTGAACACTTTAACCCAAATATAATAATGGTAACTGGCTTTCATTAGTTATTGTTAAGACAGAGCAATAAAGCTTATTCACGAAAAAACTTCATTAAATGCACTTGCACTGCTATTTAATTTGTTTTAATGAGCGTCTTTTTAAGTGTCTTTTTTTAAGATAATAAACACATACTTTACGTAAACAAAACATCTTCATGACTTTTATTTTCTTTCTCAGTCAGTCTTCGGAATCAACTTGGAAATGCGCTAAAGAGTATTCAGTTCAGTGCTGTAATTAGAGCCCTCGTGTTTTACCATTTCAAGGACTGTCGCTTCCTTTTACCCTTGAGTTTTTTTGTAATTTATATGGGAGCATAATCCCACTCACTGCACAGAGCTCAACCACTCGTAAACTTCCTTGAATTGTAATGGACATCTCTTCCAATATCCATAATGCAAGTCCGAATTACCGACACTAGTCACATGGGAAAAAAGACGTTAGAATACAATACAATCATTTAAAAACCCCCTTGCAACTCAGACAAAGCTTGTATCTATGTTTATTAAGGTATTCAGATCTACTATATGCGCCGGTGGCGCAGCGCTTATCGTATACAACTGTCAAGCCCCAGGCCCCGAATTTGAGACTAATCATTGCGCAACTAGTGATATGAACTATCAATACTACTGTTTTTTCTGGTACACAAAAGGGACAGAAAAGCGCATGCTTCCCAGTAAGGCGGCTTTCATTTACCTTTCCTCTATTACCTTAACGGGTATCGGAACGAGGTATGAAGGATATAATTTCTCTAGGGAGATATCTTCAACTCCTAACGTAAATACGAAATGTTTAGTTTACAATTCGTTCCATAGTTGCACTATGGGCTTTAAGCACTCTTCAATTGAAAATAAGTAAAATAATAAACCCGCATTAAACGAGCGTCAATTAAGTTGTCTAAATGGAGTACAGAACCCTTCCCATCCCCCAACCCTCGACCGTTAGTAAGCATTAAGTGTTTAATTAACACGGGTGTGAACACAACTATCCTCTAATCATATATTCATTTGTACGCACGCTCTATCTCAATCAAGCTTAGCTAAACAAATAAGCTACCAAAAGGGCACAAACTTAAGTTTATTAGAGTCCGTCAGACTGCACGAAATGACAGGCTTAGCATTTCAGGCAGGAGGAAAAATTAATTAGTTTAGAGAGCGAGAAAGCTTTGACGACGAGGAAGACCATCTAACCTATAACTACCCAATTCATTATTTTTGTGATGAAAATTTAAGCGGAAGGTGTGATAGACCAACCAACTTCTCGCAATGCATTATCAACTGTCCGAATGCCACCCTCCACCTCCCCCTCCCCCTCCTCACTTCTACCTCCCTTCTCAATTTACTTCAATCCACCCCTCAACTCAAACTTACTTCAATTACCTTATTAGTGTCTAATTAAAAGCGCTTTTAGGCAAAGCAGAGGTGTGTACGTTAAAAGATTGAAAAGTGTTAGCTGGCTTTCCCTCCGCGCGATTTTGCATTAGATTCCAAAATATCCCCAACTGAGTGAGTGAAAATTGAGGAAAAAGAAAGCTGGGGAGGGAGATTAAATGTACCGGAAATTCAGATTAGTTGTCCAAATAGTTGCAGCAGTTTCTCTTCAGTTGCCTATTCATTATGTTAATATTTTGAAATCGGCACTGAGGAAGGTAGGCGGATGACTGAGATTTAAATTCTGATAATAAGAATGGACTCTGGGAAACGGTGTCGGCGGAAATGTGAAGCAAACATTTTAGGTGCTTTGGACTCAATATACGGAGTTGTGAACGAAAATACAAGCAGGCGCACGTTAAATCCCAACGGTCAGGCCCTCTGCCTGAGGTGCTATAGACTCAACAATAATGGCACTACTTGACTATATTAAAATAGTTTTTCCTGACGCAAGATCTGTTGTTCCTCCTATTTTCGTATTACTAGTGGGGGATGTTAAAAAAACACCACAAAACGACTCATTGGGCGAAATTTTTAAATGCATCAACAAAACTTTGACCTTCCTGCAACAAGGGGATCGACAGTTGAACAGAAGAGGGCTAAAGTCTTCAAATTGTGTACTTATCAGATTCTTCGCTTTGCACTTAATCATTAAAACATACTCGGGTTTGGTTCGCAGATCTCCGAATGAGCACAGGTCCGTCATGTTCCTATCTCATTGACCAGCTGATTTAGATGGGTGAAAGATGTTACCTCGAGGGACGGTTCCTTCCAAATAGCCAAAAACAGCTAGTCAACATAAGATGAGATTTACTTAAAAAAGTAGGGTTAATTGAAAGGAAAATTTGTCCAAATCTAAACATCAAATTATGTATCCAAGTCTGAGAAACGAATTAACTGTAATAGATCGCGTCTACGTAAAATTTATTAAATAACTTGATATAGTATGTTCGGATAAATTAGAATACATAATGAGAATTACGCGCAAAGACCCGGATCACATATGTGTATAGTTTGACGTAGGTTCACCAAGAGGGCAGTCAGTGATACCCTGTTCACTATGTCTAAAGTTGAGTCCATAATGGAATTAGATACACACAGCAAAAAACCAGAAGTGAGTATCAGTTAGTCTCCCATATAAACGCATCTGAGTATATTAGTTAATTCCCTAACAGCATGTGCTTTAGACTTCATCTTAGAGCATGAATGACACTTCCATAAGAACACAAATAGCTAAAATAACTGTTCCTTCCGCTAAATGAATCTACCTCCGTAATGGTTAATCCTGTAATCTCAGGAATGGCAGTGACGTTAGGTGTCATATAACTAGGAAAGGTCTAACAACATTTTTATTTCAAAGGCCAAAGAAAACGAGTAATTGACAGATTTCCGCTTTAAAAAAGAACACATGTGCGCATCACTGCTCAATCTAGGCATTTATTCACTCTTAAAATGGAATCTTGATAGGGAAGTTGTGGGAGAGGAGTGAGTTAGGGCAAGTGATTACAGAAGGAAGAGTGGTGGTCAAATTTTCATCAGTTACTGATCAGAGAACAGGGCTGACAAACCGGCAATCACACACACCCAAAAGAAGTACTCGTCGTCAATATCAAATGTCAGGTCTCAAGCACACAGAAACAAGGAAGTATTTCGTGGAAGAGATTTTGGGCAGAAGGGAGAAAATTAACTCTCATCCACATTGCTGTCAAAATTATATGCACAAGTGGAGAACGAGATAGAGGAAATCATTAGTTGTTCAGAGAATCACTATTACCACTATCGTGAGGAGGCGAGGGAAAGGAATTGGTCCATTTAAGTACAAAATAACACCTGCACACAAACTCAAAGTGTGATTGGTTGAGGAAACAAAAGATAGAAGGAATGAGAAGAATTGTGCTAAGTCGGTGCTTCTTTGAAGTGACTGGGTTGGGAGAACTTTATTGACTCACGAGGTCGCTTGAGGTTCCTTTTCCACATTTCTAAGAGTCTGGTCAGCTGACAACCAGACTCGGGGTCCTTTGTGTTGTTGGAGAACCCGGTCAATTGATACAATTGCACTATCTAGTGACTCCAAACCGAGTATCGCTAAAAGAGATACATTAAGTGCTTTGAATTAGACCAACAAAACGCTGAGAATCAAAGTTAAAGTGAGGTTTAATTACCCGTGAAAAGGTACCAATACTCAGACTCCATACGAGCACAGGATTCATATAATTTACGAGCTTGATCAAGGGTTAGACGCCTTTGGAGGTTGCGACAGTGCGTTATTGTCTCTGGTCTCAAGAGGATCGAAATTGGATACAAGCCAGCAGTCTAAAAAAATTGAAAAAATAATTACTACTATCATAAATTCAGTAGACGTATACAAACCATCAACAGATAAGCATTCGCGTCAAAGGCTTCGAAAAATAAGTCAATCAAAAATACAAAACAAATTGTAGATTCAATCGAGCAAGAAGACGAAATATCTATAGAGTTCAGGTTATTGCTTCACGAAACTATTTTAAATACAAAGTCGACGATAGAAGTTAATAAGGATTCTGATTGAATGAAAAGTTCCAAAATCCATTTTAGACATCAATGGACGAGATACTATGAATATAAGAATAGGAAGTTTAAGCCAGTTAATTTGCATTATCGAGCTTTTAATTAGGGTTAAAAATGTAAGGTTTATAATGCCCGGAACAATATAACAACTAGGTCAGATCTAATAATAATTCAGCACGATACAAATAATGGAAATCCATTATGTTAGGATCGCGTAAACTGCTTAAGGTCATATTGTTTTTATGGCCTTTGATAAAGAAATGGATTGAAGCGGAACGACTTGAACACCACAATTAAACAACTAACCAACAATAACCGAAAATTAAGGACAACAATTGTATTATTAATTCAGGAAAAATAAGCCAATTAATTGAATATTCAACAACTCGAGAGCGAAACAGAAATTAAATAGCATTTTGGTGATTCTTCTTCACTTCATCTTAATTATACATTTTTGAAGTTTATATACGAGAGTCCAAATGTTTCTCACGAAGGAAAATGTGTTCTTTTCCGCAAAACTGCTCGTTATGATGCTGATGACATATTCAAAAAAGCATGGAGAGAAGCCCAACACAAATTAACTAAGTATGGATAGGAAGAAATTGATAGTGTTAGAGAACCGCAAATAAATCTGTGTGTAATACCACTTAAATAACCTCGAAAACAAACGAGTACTTTACATGAACTTGGAAGTGAGCATACCTGTAACCGATAGATGGCGACAATGTTGACATCAAGGATACAGATGCGTCCAGACTGAAGCACATCCAGGATGGACTGGAGAGAAATAGCGTAGAAGTGATTGCTTAGTACGGTCACATCCACGAATTTACCTGCGGAGATGTCCACTTGCATGGCCTCTTTGGAAGGGTAGAAGTGATGATCAACGCCATCCACTTCGCCATCTTGAGGGGGCCTAGAGGTATCTGAATAAACAGCCAACTTCATAAATAAATTTACAAATTTCCGGCTTAAAAGAACGGTCTTCCAGTGGCACGATAGACAATGATCCGTTCAAATACAATAAATAATGGAGATCTTAGGCATAACGAGGAACTCGTGAGAAATTTAGATTTTCAGTTAGAAGTTATTATGATAAAATAATATTGATATCCATTTACTTCACCATCCAACTCAGATACAATATGAACATCAGTTTTCCATGTTGGAGTATATAGATTAAATTATAATGAAGAATTCAGAAAAAGACTTACGGCCCCATGAATTAAGAAAAGCAACAACTGTGAAATGGCCTCCCAGAAAAGAAATGAGGTAAAGGTAATTAAAAACTGATATGAATACAACGATGTATTGTAAAGGAGATACACAGCTTTCTATATGCCATTAACTAGAAAGGAGAACTACGCTTATGCTGAGAATTGAAAAGTCAACTTCCAGTACCCTCTGCTTAGCATGGCTTTAAATTTTGTGCAGTAGATGAGTTGCTTTCAAAGATGAAGGCCGAAGGAATCTTGCATTTTTCGAAACCACGTACATCACGAGTCGGTTCTAATTTGGCTGTTTGGATTTATAAGATAACATTTTACCTTTATTCATAGCCGTTGAGCGGCTAGTTAGTGGAACATAGGCAGAAAGCATCTACAATATTAAACTTTGACAGAGGAAAGATATCCCTTTTGCGACATCTCCATTTAGATTAACATTAATTAAAGTGGTTGAGCAATTAAATCACTGAATGTGTACCAATAAAACTTGATCACAATAGTTCTGAATTAGCATGCGTGGAATTAAACGCTAAGCCGCCAACAGTAATAGTGTCTTTCAATTTAACAATGAATGAAAAACGAATATTGCCCCTATTGTCACCAGAGTATCGCAAAAAATGTGAATGACTTAGGATGACACAAATTTGAGCGAAATAAATAAAAGTCAAAGCAAGGATACGCAACTAACGTTGTATGCAAGTAGCAAATTCCTCCGACTTTAGGAGTTCCTCAATGATTCTTTCCTTAAGGGGACCGAAAATAATCAGTGGACGGGCCATTTTTAGCGTCACTGGGTGGACAATCTCATAGGTACGCGACATCCATGTTCCAAAACCTAAAACGACAAAAATAGACATAAAAGAACAATCTTTTCCGACTGTGTGGTAGAGCAGATGAAAAGAGTTGAAAAGAACAATAGCGCGTAAAAGATAGAGCTATATGACAGTGAAACACAACTTACACCACTTTTTAATAAAATATATCTCAAGCAACAGAACCTTTGAGCAACGAAATTACCAAAAAAGGATTCAAAAATACTCTGGGTAACCTTTGAAGGGAAATAGAGGTAACTTATAATTATGAGTAGTCTACGTGGTACTCGTGTTATCAGTGTTCGTCCACATGATCACCGTAAAACGCCAAACGAAAATAGATCTTTCGAAAAACTAATTGAATAAAAATAAAGAACAAAGTTAAACTAAAGCCGAGGTAAGTATATACAAGACAAGAGGGATATATTGGAAATAAGCAGCCGCCTTAGCGCAGGAAATAGAAAAACTAGAGCATCATTTTGTGGAAAGAAAATAGACGTAGGGGAAAGAGTAAACAAGCTAATCCCTACCTGTTTGCCTTTTCATCAAAGAAGGCAAAATAGTAAAGCAGTTTTTCTACCCAAGGTTGTCTTAGTCAATTTCTCCACTTTATCAATAGTCTTCTTTACAGTAGAGTCTATGAAGGTAGCTTCCGCAATATAGAAACATCAGAATAGGGCAACTGTTAAGAAAGGCTTCGCAAAGCACAAATAGTGATAACCGTCGTCGCTTTTGGGGTAACGCTCTAAACCTGAATGGTATTTAAAGAAACATTTACAAAAGAATGAAAATATTCATAAAATAATGAGATTAAAGTAGTTTTATCAAAAGACAGAGGCATTCATATAAATTATGAACAGTACGCAGACCGGGCCTATCTAATTTTCGCTGCCCTTAGACAAAAATCTTTGGGTTAGGATTTCAAAACGAAATTTGTCAGTGAATTAAAGATGAGATTATGCACCTTTACATTTGTATAGAAATGTTTATTGTAAGCACGTATTTGACATAATGAGCAAAGTAATAGTCTGAAATACTCCACCAAATGGATTGAACAACTATACTACTTAAAACCTGCCGAGGAGAGTAGCAGAAAGTTAGTTCCTCAACAAAAACCCATAGACACTACAAGGAACAAGATAAGCTTTGGAAAACCCCTCCCTTAAGCAGATTTGTAAGATTAAACGAAATGAAAGAGCATTAAAGCCTGACTGTAGTTTCCAGCCCATTGAATTATTACATCACAAAAATTTTAAATAAGATTAAAACTTAAAGTTAGTATAAGAAAAAAATGGCATCTATCTACTAAAGCGAATTTGCACCAACACTTAACAAAATTACAACAATTAGTTAAAATAACTAGATTTCACAAACTATTAAAAACATTAAGAATGACAAATACAAATAATACCTATTAAGGAAAATACGAGGACTACTAGCGAAACACGGCACAGTATCAGATGGATATCGCAGACATAAATCCATCAAAGATCCTTTTGGTCAAAACTGGAAAATGTTATCCATAGAAAAATGGAGTTCTATGAGTTCTATTCTACTCGAACCCTTCACTCCTATTTAAGGAATTTCACTACTCCACGTAGTCGTTTGCTCTCGCTGTTAATATGGCAACAATAAAACGTACCCCCAAATCCAAATCCTATAATTAATGTAAAATTGTCCCTCAATCGACAAAGTAAAGAGGTGGACTATCTGCAATTCAAGTATATGACTAGGATTGTCCAAACAAGGAAATGAAGACGCACAGTGCGTTTATAAGTTGGTAACTCATCCAAATAGTCTCATGCTAAGATATAGTCAGGCCGTGTAGTATGTGGCTTAATTAGACATGAACGATGTTAGTGAGACAAAGTGATAACTGACCATAATGCTTATAAGCAGCCTCAGTAGCTATAGAAGTTACGGTTAGCTTTACCAGTTATTATGTTCTTAATGAATCACACCGGGGATTGAAAAGTTTTAAACCATCTTAATTCCTCTTCGAAGTCCAAATTGAAATAGCTTAAGGGAGATTAAGCTTAAAAGTGATAACATTTTAGACATTCTCTTAAATCAGATTTGGTAACAACAAATCTCTGGTAGTAGGGCATTGAAAAAACACTTCAGTATGCCTCAATTAGTCATAAAATGACTTAATGGAGCTATAGGAGAGGAAACTAGTGAAATGGATATTAAATCAATCGACTTTCAAAATTTGCGTATTTTTAGAGCCAGTCAATTAACTAAAACATTTTTCAACAACTTGATTATAATGTCTAAGCAGTATTAAGCAAGTAGCCGGAATAAGACGTAAAAATATGAATGCAGAGAATTAGTGTCTTGCTAATGAAAACTTTCGCAGCTACTGAGTATAGGGAATTCGGCAAATGAAAAACAAAGGAAGCACTTTTAAAAGTGCAAAATTTATAGTTTTGTCTATGGCGAAAATGACAATCTATACTCAATTCAAAAATATTCTATGCAAGTTATTAATGCTAAGGAAAGTAATTTGTACAGTGAGTGAATGATTGTACTATTATCGAAGGATTAAAGTAATGACTCGTATTAAGTGAAGTATTTGAGAGTATTAGCACTAGAGCTTCAAAGATGTGGGAGACAGCACCACAAAATATGCTAAATTGTCATACTGTTTCGAGTGAAATAACAAACAGATAAGAGGAGAAACCCTCATTTCTGGAAATCAAATGGCAATAAATTCGTTACCTGATCCAAACTACTAACAAACTAAACACACAATTTCGAATGACTCGGGGTCCCAATCACAGCTAGACCAAAGTGGAGACCTACTGTTTCAAGGTCAAAGTATTTGACTTACACTTTATCTACCCTCCGAATAAGCTATATTGAAAAGGAAATATAACAAGGAAGATTATCATGAAGTTCAAAGAAACCTTTTTACGAAAGCCGACTTTTCAACGATAACGAAAAAAGGTTTAAAAGGCCCAACGCAGAAAAAATTTCCATTTTATCAATACTCCGAATCTAATTTGAGCCAGCAGTGCTAAATACACGGGCAATTGCGTCAAAACGAAATAAAATGTGCTTACGTATGACTGTATCCACGAGTAAACTTAAATTATGGATACAATTAATTTTAGTGGAGTCATCAGGCGTATTTATAAAAAGAACAATGAAATGTAATGAGTACATAGAAACTTGAGATAAAAAGGTGCGAATGTTTAACAGCGTATTACTCGAGAGCGTGAGTAAGCTAGAGCAATCTTACCCCGCCCAACTATATCGAACGAATTAGACATAAAAGCAAGAGTGGGAGGCATGGGAGAGATTATCCACTTACAAGGCAACCACAATAACCAATGAGCACCAATGCTGGTGTACGTGTAGAAAGCTTTTTGCCTATAAGCAAGTGAATAACTAAGCAGGGGAGGGAGAGAGATAAAATGAGGGATTGAGGGAGGGAACATAAACGAGATTTTTTCAACGCCAGATCATAACTGCAAGACCGCTCACCACTCGACTGCCCATCGGTTAGTTAACAAAATACAAGATTCGATGCAGTGGTGGTAATTGTAAATAACTTGAAACCTTTCCGAAAAGATAGCGCCACGCGTTAGTGCAAAGACTTCAGTGGGGTGGTGGGGGTTAAAGAGATGAGGCAATATTTACCCAGCGAAAGACACCACTAAGTGAGCAAAGTCAGTTAGGATTTTGTACCTCAGTGTCACAATGTTCCATAATTGCTAAATCATGAGTCACGAGATTGATCCTCATCGATGCACACCAAATGACGTAGATGGTAGATAGCATTGACTAATGAGGGTAAATAAAAGGAAAAAAGCTCTGATAATACTTTAATTTCTAACCAGAGCAGAGTTAGCCCACCGTTTCTGCCCCAATTAATTGACTAAATTAACTTCGAAATTATGGGTAAATCAGTTTTCAGTAGGGTGGCTTTAGGAAGTAAAAATACTTAGTACCGTGAAGACGGTATCAAAGGTTTAGGAATAAGAGCGAGAAGAAACAAAAAGCATCAGTTCGTTTAACTGTCGAGATTATTATAAAATCATTAGAAACCGGTTACGATTATAAGACTATAAACCAACCTAATAGCAGATTGAAAACTCGTCTGTCTAGCCAGTCTTCTGAAGCACTATAATGGACCATCAATTGTGGTCTCTATAGTTGTCTATTTTTCAAGCCATTAATTTAAAAGCGTTAAACATTTCAATATTGTGATTGAGTAGCAAAATGACAAGTATTCGAACAAAACAACGGCAGAGTATCGAGCCATGGCAATAAAGAACCGGTAAACTATGCTAAGTTAAAAAACGAGCTATACACGACAACAGGACTAAAGTGGCAAAACGGCCAGAACAAGAAATAAAGAAAATAAAGTCTAGTTTAGAAAATAGCTTATCAAATGAACAAACTAACTACGATGCAAAGTAAATTAGAGACGAAAAACCATGATTCTTAAAACGTGAAAATGCAGAGTAAATATTAAATGAGCTATTTTTTCTGCTAAAAGAAAAAGATGAATATCTATTAGGAGGTAGTTCAATTCCATCGAAACTCTGAATAAGTTGAATATTATGAGAAAACCAATTAGTTGCTATAGCCATTTGCTATTTTATAGGGATCACGGAATCGACACCCAACGGCACACCCAGTGAGAAGGATGGAGGGGGTGAGATAGAACTCGAGGTCCTCAGCGGAAGGCCCGATAATGACACTCTTTATCCAAGACTAATGTTGAAAAACATGTTCGTAACACATTTTAATGTTATCTATTTTTAAGAAAGTGCAGAAGAAAAAAAGACCATGGTTTATAATTAATGGAATCAAAAAATTAAAATACTATTTTAGAGTGTCGCTTCCTCTATTAGCATTGACAAGTCAATGTAAAATGCAAAAAATCAATGTGACATATGCAAACCGCGCACGCCAAGGGAGAAGCTACTTAAGGTAGTGGCTACAAACAAAACACGCGCACAGCAGGGCAGTTGAAATTTATTGGCGCATGTTCTAAGCGTGGCGCGTTAGCAAACGTGGGTGTTTTGAGAGCAGGAGGGATAAGCAGATCCAACTAAGAGTTAAACTAGCTCCCAAAACTACAGTCGAATAATCTTATTTAAGCCGTCTGATGTTTACTTAGTAGTGAAACAATTCTTAAAAAGCAGGCCCTTATTCTCAAGGTCCAGGTAGTCTATTTTTCATTAAGAGAAACAACAAACTTTGAAATGAATGAGATAATCAAGAAAAAGAGAAAAAAGGTCTTAGATCTTGAAGATATCCAAACAGAATTTCCGAAATTAGGCCCAAAATTGTAAAAATGGACAAAACAATACGTTATTGGCGAGCCAACATTGCATGATAAAAAATTATTTAATTTCTACACTATATACTTCTAGGCTATGAAAACACTGGTGAAGTCTAATTGGAGATAAAAAAGATTCAATAAATTTCGACCCATCGGTGAAATAAGACTGCATAAATTATTAAATCTGTATTTTTGACCACAAGGCGAATTATGAAAGGATAGCCTAGCACATACAATGAATCAAAAGTTCTGATCTTGCATTCTTCCAGTTTAGGACAAATGAAAAGTACCAAAGACCTCGCCAAACTCCAGACTTGTATGTTAGTTGTTTGCTAGCTCAAATGGCATATTAATAAACTAACGTTGCAAATAAACTGACTTATTTTAAGCTATGAAATAGCAAGCTCAAAATCCCGAAAGAACATGACTATACTTAGAAAAAGGGCAGGCCACTTGAACCATAAAGTCGGCTTTTGAGAGAGCTTTTAGACTATGCGTGGTGGTATGGTAGAGAGGCACAAATCAAAGATATGTAAATTAAATTTACTCACCCCCAAAAGCATGTAAAGAGCTAATTAAGTTTAAAAGGTTCAAAATTTGGAAACAGACTTCCTAGACTTCCCATACTTTAGACAGTATTTTACCCAATCGTACACTCATTAAAAGAAACAATCTAGCCAAATTAGTCCGTTTATTTATAGTTTTTAAAGCAATTGAGTAAAACATGACTAATTCCTACATCTGTAAACCTTATCCAAATTAATGTTATTACTGAAAACTACCCAACCCTCTCCTTCCTCCGACATGTCCGATCAAGCAGTAAAGACATTTTCGACAGCGTCGAGGATAAATTAGAATATTAGCCATAAAGCTCTTCATAGATCCAGTGTGCTCTACGAATTCTTTCAAATGTCGCTTTTCGGTTAGCCCTAGGATCATTTCATGCATTTAGTTCTGGCTCTAGGGCTGTGCGAAAATTGGTCACTAAGTCATCATTAATCCAATTGTAAAGGAGTTAACTGGGAGTCAATCGAGTCATGCAAGATCGCTGAGTACCATTCGACCAGATTTTTATGTGTACGTAAACCATTACAAACCAGACTTCGTCAAATGAACCGACAGAAAAATGCACCGCGATCGAGGTATTGAAATTACGAGCTAACGCCAAGGCACTATCTTGTATGAACGTTCCATCACAGACTGTTAGAATTAGGAAATAAAGCGGCAGAGGACAGTTATTAGCGCATTGCTTAAACCAAAAAAGGCGAAGTCGGAATATTAGTCCAAGATTAACACAATGGCCAGTTTGAAATGTTTTGAGACAGGTAAATGCATGAGACATACTTGATAGTTAACCGAACGTTCGGTGCTACTAATTATTTGGTTCGTTATCAAACTCCATCGTAGCAATTTTCGCAGAAGAGCAATATCCTAGCTAACTTCTGCTGCCTTACGCTGGCGACACCTATGCCACGATTCTTCTCAATAAGTCTATTTCAGCCAACTCTGCAATCAGAAAAGCATAATGTGGACCGAGATATGTAGCGTCCAAAATGTACGCATAGTCAATGAACGGCATGACTAACACTATTTATCAAAACTGCTCAAGCAAGGAGGCGAAATGCAGAACCAAGAAATCTCAATTTTTCTGGCAACGGGTGCTTATAAGCTCTTCTTAGATAAGGTTATAAGTTCTAACAAATACTTCAGCAGAATCCTCCTAACAATAGTCGGAACAATGCATCTTAAACTAAAATGGAGGAAACTGAGTTACTTTTAACTATATGGATTTTTCCACGGCTTTGTGTCATATACGATGGTATTAATTGTTGTAATAGGTGATTTAAACAGTTTGACAATAAAATCCAATAAATGAACTTTTGGGTGTCCTCTTAAAACTTATACCGATCAGCAGTAAGTACTAGAAAGCCATAAATTACGAAAATTGTTCGGAGTAGGCGAGGTATGTTAAAACAAAATTAAAGTACATTCGATGATAGGAGGAGAGAATTTCATAACACGGCGGTGATTTATCGAAAGTGGCATGAGATCAAATCTCAACTCTCCCTCCCCAACCCTATCAAACTAAATGGCAAAACTGACAGACGTATGACCCTAAAGCAAAAATCTCCAGTCAAAGTTTGATTAGTGCTGAACACCAGTAGGATAAAAAAGAGAGCATATTACTGGAATGGAGCTGAAAACGCAGACATTTTCTAGGAAATAACACACAATTGTAGTATGTGTTTCTCTGAAGGATTTAAAATTTTGAGCTTTCACTGAATTTATCATACGACAATGCACCCAATCAACCGTAAAAAACGCACGATAGGAAAATAAAGGTATATTATTTATGTAATGTAAAACCGATGAAAATTTTACAAATCATCAAAAAGAATAGCGCTATTGACCCCAATTATTATTGTGAAACAAGCGTATCCGCTTACAATTTGCATAACTAATTAAATGAATACGCAACCTAGGCAACCCATTAAAGGTACCGCAATAAACCATAGTGAATATAGGAAAAAGCTTCATAAGGTCTTAACTAAAGCACCGTATACAAACATAGAGCTTAATAAAAAAAGCAGCCCTATATGACAGGAATGGTTAAAGAATTGAGAATTGGACGGTCTTACCACCACTTTGCATGTCCTCAAGAGAGATACTTTTCTTTTTCATCGCAGGATTAGCCTCCAAATCCTTTCTACCTCGTCGACTGGAGAAACGCTTGAAAATGGAAAGAGAATTGGTCTTTTTTCGACGCTCTAGTGTACCCCCTAAAAGAAACAGGCAAAAAGTTTAAAATACGATTTGTTCGTGTATTTAATACAATATCCATATTTGGTTTGAAATTTACAAATTGGATGTTTAAACCACTATCCACATAACCTTAGATAAAAATTTGACCTTGATATGAACATCACATCATAATTGAGATTAGCTTGAAACATCCACTAAATAATGGTATTAGCTAGAAGAGCAAGAGCTAGAACAAGAGTCGATTTTGAGCACAATCTGCGTCTGTCCTTCACTCAAAACTAACATATTAAAAATATCTTGATAAATCATGCTTGAGTTTCATCAGTAACCAAATGAAAGCACTTCACTATTTAACTGTTAAATAACGAGCCATTGTGACTTATTCATTTTAATATAGTATCATTAAATTTTGGGGCTGTTTTCTGAACACAGACAAGAAGTTCTGAACTCAGCAAGTGCATATAGGGTGAGGTCATCGGTAAGTCAATTTTAATGGAGAAAAAATTGTAGCTACAGTACGAAGTTTTTGCAACGTATATATAACTTGTAAATAGGCAGAAACTAACTATATAGGACAATTTTAATTAACTTAAGTCGTGAATAACTGTCTTCTCATAGTGAAAAAAGTACCACTTTTGCTTAGCAGTGCATGGTTGTAACAAATAAAGTGGATATAAAGTGATGCAGATTTTGACATTTTACGATTGATTCCAAAGAAAAAAAGACAACTAACCAGTCACACAAGTTACATTTGTTTGAACTTAACAAATTCTCTTTAAATAAAGACAACTTGAGAAAATACTTCAAAAATATTTTAACCAGCTCGATTTTGCAACCTTTTTCCATAATTCATGGATATCCTGGGAGTCCGCGTATGGACGCTTGCATAATGCACCAACTAGTCTCATTCGCTTGTGAAAATGTGCTCAACTGTGCACAACATACTTGCCTTGGCACTGGGCCAAATTTTTGATATGATTTTCAATGTAAGCGCATTGTACTGGTAACACAAGCTCTGTTGATTACAATCAACATATACAGGGTGAATGAGAAGTAAAGCCTTGACTTCAAATAAAATAGTTCAAACATGAATTAGTTGAAAAAAAGCAATTGTAAGCGAAAATTACCCGAAATGATTCTACTCCAAATACTCTCAGCGTTAATACGAAATCATTTATTATAAGCAAACAGTATTTCATGCGATAGAAGGAAGTCTTTCCCAAAAACGATTCGACAAATAGAAATGCCTAGAATAGCCCCTTAATCAGATGGTATCAAACCCGGACACGGAGCAAAGAAGGAAGAAGGAAAGGAGCCCGAGATTACTTTTGGTAGGCCACCGTGTTTTCTCCACCTATACCTAACAAGTCCACTACGTGGCTGAGTGTACAAATACCCTTTGCTTAAAAAGATTGAGCTGAATTGCAAAAATAAGCCAAGCTTCATCTTGAATAAATAATTTACTTAGCAAAGAGTTATAAGTCATTTGACTATTATCTAGTCCATCTATAAGCCATCAAAATAGAAACTCGAACAAATAACAAACTGATTCGCTTTCCCATATTCCATTTCCATTAAAAGTGGAATTTCTATATCAGATGAAGGTAAAGTGGCTGGTACTTAAACGAAGTCTCAATTGCTTCACAAAAGAGAAATGGCAGAATATTTCTCGAAAATAGGAGATAACAATAAGAAAATATGCACTTATTTACTTTAAAATTATGTACATGATATTATTTGATATAATTTACGTCATCATTTCCAATTAATTTCCATTGCTCATCGAGTTCTTCAATCCATTTAAATTGAAATATTCACTCAACCCGTTTTCCACTTCAATTACATTTCGACATTATTTTTCTCTTAGAGCAAGTTACACGCATTATGGGGGATGTGATGAATTTTCCGATGCAAATCCTCAAGTTTGAAAGGGTCTACTATGGCTTGCCTTAGGGGATGGAACAGATGTTTGATTAGGAGACAATCATTCTTCTCTATCACTAATATCGTCGTAAAAGATCCACTTCTCATCCCCTCCCCCAGTGCCAATTTGATATAAAAAGGCGAATTGATTGTCTTGACAGCAAAGAAATACGCGTTTACGCACTCATCTCTGTTACACTGATAGAGTTCATGCGGAGGTATTCAAATTCCCATCCAATTCTATTTGCCAGTGGGATTTTAGTGCAACTGTACAGTTCACCACGAATGTGGGAACTTCTGCGATAATTAACAGGATCAGTTTTAACAGGGGATTTCAACACGACCTCAACATCATTAATTTGTTCCGATTTTGGGAAATCATTTACATTCTCAGTTCACAATTGAAATCTTTAAAACCAAAATTGACATCGGCGGGCTGTAAGGACTTGACCATAAATTTCAGAAATTAACTTAGTAGCCTTTCAAGCGTTCAAACCCTGATCAAAGAAGGGCAGTACGTAATGTCTGACGTGTACCCTGTCTGCCTTAGGGCGGGACGTAAATTACGTCGGACTATTGGTCAACAAGAAAAAAATTTACGCAGTTGTTTTCTTTGCCATGTCTGGACACAAAGAAAGCTCAAGCATCTGCTTGAAAAATGAACTGAGGGCTGTATTTCATTGAGGAAGTAAACAATACATAACGATCAAATGTACATCTTCTGTTAACAGAAAATTGTGAACTAGGTTGTATAAAGTGGGGTTAAGGAATGAACCATAGGAGAAGAAAATTTCATTCGCATAAACCTTACCAATTACAATTTGTCCAAAATCACTCTCAAAATCGCACTAAATGTTCTAAAAATCTCTAAACACGAAGGTCTTTAAGAAAAAAATTATCAACTGCAAACCGAATTATAATAAGGAAAAGCAAATCTTCAAATGCTGTCTTCTCTAAGTTGCAACACTTTGGGTCATTTTGAGAAAAAACAACGTGCTAAATAGGAATAAATATATAAAAATAAACACTCCCTGATGGCAACTTAGCATGCTAGTCAATACTTTCACAAAAATTATTGTAATTTCAAAATCACAAAGCGCTTCTTACTGTTACTTTTTAACTAAAGGCTAGAGAAAATCGGCAAATTATTGCATATTACTAGATGACAGTTTTATGCTTCTGCATTTTCAGTTACTAAAAAGACCACTTTATTTTAGAATCACTCAAAGCTTTTGTCCTAACTTGACAGATTGGTAGGAATTTTACAAGGTAGGAGAAGCTGTATGACAATAAGACGCATTCATCCATGTCAAGTGGAATAAACACAAATAATAAAGTATAACAGAAGGGAGTAAATAGGAGATTTAAAGGTAGAGAGGAAGGTGTTGTAAATAATACGAACGTTAAGAAGGCATGAATAATCACTGAATTCAACCAACTTGTCAATAAGCTCAGATAACAGATATGAGATAAAATTTGGGCAAATAGGTAAAATAAGGGGAGTAAAGTTTAGCTAAACTACACTTGAGGCATCCACTTCCTGATGAAGAATAGCGAAAGATTGGTAACCCTCATACATTAAACACTAGTCAAAAAAAAACAAATAAATACATGAGTGTAACGAAGAACCCAAAATGAATCTGACATAATGGCTTTAATAATGAGTGAAACAGAGCTACTCTTCTTAATAGTGGATAAGAAGGACTAGCGACTCATGAATGCCTAAGATCGATAAATTTAGTAATTTGAATTCAATGATGAACTTTCAACATTCGTGGTGTACAAGACTCATACAGAGTTACCAATGCCCCTATGTTTCTCCGTTTCTGCCAGCATAATCCAGTATATATCGATTTTAAAACAACGAGTAAACGAACAGCTCCCATACTCTCTTCCCCCTTCTCCACCTTGTTCTTCGTCTCGTTTTATTACTATCATTATTCCGGCCTCTACTGAAGTCTGTCCCCCCCCCCCCCTTTTCACCATTATTGAAATTCAATTGCTTTTAAATAACAAATTTGGTCGAATCGATAATCTTGGAATTACGATTTAGAAAATTGGGTTCTCTTGTTAGTAGTAGCATTAGCCATTACTTATTACTCTTATAAATTCACTTCAAGTTTTTATCTTTAATCATATCCTTATTTGGTTTTAAAATTAAATATCAGCACTTTAATATACTTACGAAAGAAAAACTCTGCTAAAATATCAAAGCCCATCAAGCACGCACGGCAACTCCTAAAATATCGGTTCACTTGTACACCCAATTAGCTAATAGCCAACAAAAAAGAAAGCCGACTAATTGGCACCTACACCAAAATTAAACAAATACGAGCCATTTTATTTCAAGCACATCTTTAAGCATAAATAGCATATTAAAAAAATGAATAACTCACCTTGCATGTTAAAGCAACTTCAAAAAACATCATCCTTTAAACTCACAACTTATACATAAAATTCGAATACAAGAATAGTGAAACGAATCTGTGGCTTAGATGACTCAACATCACAATATGCATGAAAAGTAATAACGAAAATGGCTAACTCACCAGCAGATACCGAATCCGCGCTAGGAAAAACCCCACCTCCCCCAACACCAGATACAGCTGACAAAGAGGCCAAACTTCCATCCCCTCCAAAGAATCGATTACTACTTTCCAATGCATAAGGTATATTTGGAGTTTCTCCACTCCCCGTCCCGATACTCCAAGGACTCATATCTCCACTATTCCCACCATTATCCACAGTCTTATCGACAAATTTCACTCGCTTTGCCGATCTTCGCAAGCGTCTTTCCTCGCGCCCCTGGCTGGGAATAATTGCCGGTCGAGAGGAAGCGGAAGTATTTGGATTGAAGAGTTGGTTATCAGCTGAGGAAGAAGGGAGTCTACTGAGACTATTAAGGGCAGGGACGGAACCAGCAGATGAGAACCATGATGGTGGAGCGATGGGGTAGGCGTATTGGGCTTGCCACCATTCCTGATCACTGGCATTCACTACATAGAGTATGTCACCGTGGTCAAAGGCTAACCCCTAGAAGAGAGAAGTAAAATTGATTAGTTCTAGCACTCATAATAATAAGAGGAATGGTATTTCTCTGCTGAGGTGCTCGTATTAGAATATCAAATTATTAATTTGTTTTAGGTGGTTAGGTTGCTTATGGCATTGACTATGCATCGATGAGCATCGAAACCGTAAATTGTCTTTGATCGCCAACCCATGCCGCAAGCAGCTTCATTTAAAGCAACGACAATTGTAACAGTATTGCAACAACGTAATGTTTACGTTAATTCATATGCGGTCTTTTTAGGTAAAAACAAGGCGATTATCTAAAAGCTTAATGTTACCAGAAAATAGGATTGGTTTAATAGAAAAATTCGAAGTGACCGAATAGTCGAATGCATAGAAGGTGACTTTCGTCCAATATGATGGCATATTCAATGACATACACATTCGTCACAGTATTTAAAGATAAAAATATGGCTAATCACCCAAAACCAAGTAGGAAGAAGGCAGAAAATCATTAAATCAACAGAAACTGATTAACCCCGCAGATAGCCAACATGGCTCTGAAACGCATCACTCTCAGATTGAAGCAATAAAACACAATAATCGAAAAACAAGTCCTAAAAATAAGTAGGGGAAACATATGGTTCCACCAGATATTTGAATCAATTAACAGTCATCTGTGAATAGAAGCTGAGATAGGCTAAGATATATTTAAAGATCAATACAAAAAGTGTAAGCGGGATAATCATAAAAGGGAAATTGATGAAGGAGTAGATAATAAAGGAACAGTGACTATTGGAGTCCAGGTGATGCCATGCTCACAATCAATCACCTTTAACCTAATATCAATAAACCTCTGGGAGCAAAATCAAGCCGGGCTAGTTAGACTCTCCTAGAATTAATTGCCTCCCAGAAGGTAACACAGGTAATAATAGCCTTTCTGAATGAGAAGAACGAATTAAGAACTCCGCTTTTGCGAGTCAAATGTAGATGAAAAAGAAGGGAAAGCGTAAAAAGGATGGATTAAGGGAAAAGGAGGCGTCAGTACTGAAAGAGGCCAAATCGAATAGTAAACAGATGAAATTGGGTGCGATAAGAAAATGAACCGATTTTAAGTTATTTTTTCATTGAAAGATAGGCAGAAACATGAGTTAATAGGCAAGTGATACATAATGACTGAACAACCCTATAAGTCAGATTGGTAGGCACTATAGATGCATTAAGACGGCTCGGTTTGTTGACACGAAGGAAGAAGGTTCCTACTGATACAATAATTACAAGCTGAGTCACAACTAATTCCATATTCTTCGAATTTACTACAAAGATAGAAATAAGGCCCCGTATTACCAAGGAAACAAACTTTTACAAATATTGGTTATCACTCACAACATTAAAATGGTATAGTTATATGAACGAAAAAATTAATAGCACTTATATAGGGGTAAGAAAAAATTTTAATGACGGCGAATGCTTATCCGTATAGTGGAATAAGTATAACGAAGCCAAAAATAAAGAGTTTATAAAAGGAACTTCGATGAAATGCAAGAAAATATGCAACAACAATCTTTTCTGGAGGTTTGTTCAAGAGAGTCTAGAAGAAGTAGCAAATGAAGATATTTGAAATGAAAATTAAGTCATTCTCGGTTTTGGGAGATCAATGACTATTGACGATTCTAGAAAAAAGAGCATAGTAAAGTATCTTATTTGAATTTGATAAAATCAGAATAGCATAACTTCAGAGAAAAGATCATTGAAGCAATAACACAATATAAACTTAAATGATTGCATTACATGAACTCGCATTACATACTGCTTGTAACCTTCAATTATTTTCAAATACGCTTGTCAAAACATCAGGCCGACATTACTAGGGATGTGCAATCCGCAGCCCTAAATATCACGGGTTCAAAATATTTATTAACTATTCAGAGATCAAAGATAGACACTTTTAAAAATGCTCATCCACTTATACCTCTAAAAAAATAGCACTTGCATCGAGTTTCAAAATAAACAAACTATTCAAACACCACCTTAAACGAAATATTTGGACTTTACAAACGATAAAAATACTCACCATAAATGAGTACACTATTGAGAAAGTATATAACAACAATATGCCATATCAACCTCTGAAACATTATGAACTGCACCAGTAAGTCAAAGATCTTGTTAAAAATATCTAACCGTATTGTAATATCAAATATACTGTGCCAGAAGAGAAAAATGTGCGACAACCTTTTTTCCTATCCATTTAAGAACATATTTGATTCGCTCGACGAGAAAGAAGACAGAATGTCGCGGCTGATTGTTGGTTGGGCAGAGAAGGCATGGAGACGAATTATGATGAAGCGACTTTAGGGAAGGAAAATTACATAAAAAGTGGCATTCGTTACTTTAACACTGACTAATTGGTGAATCTTCACGCTACCATTGGTTGCCTCAACAATATATGAAATAGAAAGGAGATGTTATAACAAGGAAGTAGAATACCACTTTTAGTAAAGTAGGAGAAGCAGTGGTAGTGGATGTGTTAGAAACATTAACAGACATTTTTGCAGGAAAACTTTATTTCCTCAGTAAGTTCTCAACCATTATGCCAAGATTTGAGAACTTCACTTTTTATAGAGAAACCGAAAACATATTTGTTTTCAGCATTTTAAAATAGTTAGAGATGATAAATAATGGAAACTCGACACTTATTACAAACAAACAAAACAAACGAGCGAAAATAATAAAACTCAATAATAGGACGTAAACACCTTAAAAAGACTAGCTTTACCAAAAATTATGCTCGGTAACAGCCATGCAATTTAATGCGTCTTAACAGTAAGCTAGTTTTAAGGATAATTGACAAAAAAATAATTAATTTAATTTTTCTTGGGAAGAATGGTATTCATTCAATTCCACATTTCTTTCAACAGACGACGACGAACTACAGTCAGTATAGCCATAATTCAAGTGCACAAACCAAGTGTAACTAAATTAAAAGGCAACTGCCAAAAAATTGTTAAATTTTACAAAAAACGGGAATTGGCACAATATGTGCCTATAGAAGAAGCCCTTTTAAATAAAGTCAAATTTATACGAAAGTAGGCTCGAAAATAAAAGCAGACGGCTTCCTTTACTGAATCTATAATAAAAATCTAATGTGAAAATATCAATTTATGCAAGTACCGATATTTGCATAACCGAAGCCAGAATAAAGACTCAAAAGTTAAAAAAGAATGGCATCATTATTACTATTCTTCAAAAAAGGATTGAAACCATGGAAAACCAACCAAACCCGAAGGAAACTAGCTCAAAAAAGCAAGTCACCATGATGATGGGAAATCTCATTAATATATAAGAAAAGAAGAGACTGAAAGCCACTTTCATGTATCAAAAGCCGCACTTACTTATGGTTAAACAATCATTTCATGGCAAAATATGTAAGAAACGGAAACACTACTAGAACCTAAATATTTTGTCAGAAAATAAAGTGAATAATAAGCAAAAGATAGAACTGTTTATAACAGGTAAAATAATCCATGACAGTTGACATTAAAACAAAAAAACTTGCCCGTGCTGCACGGCCACGATCTGTATCAGGGTTATATCGAAAGAGCGCTCGCACATGAAGGCTTTCACGCATAGTGATTGTGATAGAATTGAGCGCACAGTTAATTCCGAGTAAATCTGATTGGGAAACACTGGAACCAGCAAGAGAAGACTTAGAAGAGGCCTGTTTAATTGGCGAGACGGCGGAAGAGCTTTGATCTACAAGGGAGGAGGCATCGTCAAGTGTTCCACCAGAACCCAAGTGATTATTGTGAAAAGGTCGACTGTTTTGGGTTGCCACCACTCCGATTGTGGGTCGCTTTATGATTTTTAGTGGTGCTGTATCTCCGGGGGGAATAAATGCATCCGAATCGGGACGCTTGCTCATACAAGAAAGATTGGAATAAGTCCGTCGTGAAGATTTATTAGGACTGGGGACGGATGACATCTTCTTTCACAGTAAGGTGAGAAGGCTATCTAAAGAATAAATTATATGCAAGAAAGTTTCAGCAATATCATATAATTGAAAAGTTTGAAGACACGAAAACGATTCGTAAGCCAATTTGTTATAGGGAATAGAAATTTATCTTAAATAGACTAGGAATGGAATTATGCCACCTAATAATGTGTTCCAATGAGGAAATAACATCCTAGACGCACCAAAGTATGACAAACCAAGCATAACCAATGCTATTGGTCAAGTTGTAAAGGGAGTCTGAACATTAGTTGGGTCCAATGGTTACTTGACTAATTAAAACAGAATTCCGGAAATATTTACATACTCTTAAAATTGTAACTTTATTATACTATCAACTCCAATTCTACAACTGCATTTTATTTTTATTTTGAAAAAAACTTCAACATAATGTGGTATATTTAGAGTAAATTTAAATCCAAGTAAAAATTACACGATATACGTTTTTTAAGTTTGATAGATTAATACAGATAAAACTCATTCGTCTGTTTGATATTTTAAATCCTTTCAGCGAGATAAATGCTCTGGGGACATCCATATATTTCAAGCTTAATTGTTATGGTTTCGGTTTTAAAAGTGATTTTACGCTTCTGTTAATGATGTTGAATACTTAATGGTAGTGGTGATGAAATGGATTAATTTCATTAGATAACAAAAGTTATTTAAACTATTTTAATTGACTCAACTCATGAACAAATTAGAATAACCTTGTAATACTGCCAGATATTAATCGAACAATAACATTAAAAATACTAAGTAGAATGTCGCTAGACCATGAAAGTGGAAACGCTTTTATAACAAGGGGCAATGTTGCCTATGCTAAAACACACATTTTCCTTCAAGCTTTTAGTCAAAATCTTTTTTGTTTTCAAAAGAATGTAGCCCTATTTCTCATATTGTCAAAGTCAATTATAGAAACGTAGCCTTAAAACTTATCGAAAAGGTAAATTCCTATTAAGAATAAGCACTTTGCACCGGAGGTCATTTATATCTAACTTGTCCCAACTTAACGCATTAGTTCGAAATGAGGTGCGATTGATTTTAGAACGGGCATCTAAAAGGTTTTATGAATAGCCCGTGCGACAAAAGTACTCATGCACTATATATGCTATACGTCGGATGCGCTTCTCTCACTCATTCTTGTTTTAAAATATTGGGTACACTTATATGTTACAAAATGCCTCCGAGATCAGCCGGTACCTTGATTGGAGATGTGCTATTGGTTGGAAAGTTAGAATTAACGGCCTTTTATAGCGAGAGCTGGAATCGAAGGCTGTATGTATCTTTCGAAACGAAATGAGCAGGAATATTTTAATTCTGCATTATATTAATGAGTAAAGACGCAATAGTGAAAGGTTTGGGGAGAACAGAATTTGAGTGATCCGTGGGCATACTTCAGGTTGGCCCAAGAGGGTTTCATATAATTGGGCTCACAAACTGTAAATATTTAAGAGTACTAGGTGGCGGTTCGTTGCTTGATTTTCGTTCATCCATCGTACTCTTTCAGCTTCTGCTCCACACTGGACTTTAGCGTATTATTCACTGGAAGGAAGTCGCAAGTTTTTAGTTTCCTTAAGATTTGCTTTTGATTAACTTTAAGGCTAATTCTTTTATATTGGTTGGTTATATGTTTGGCTAATGTGATGAAGTTTGTAAAAGCGTTCGCAAGTTGATGGAATTAATGCTTGTGTTCTACTCTTTTTGTAAAGTTAAAAGGTTTGGAAGCCAGCAAGGAATTGATATGGATTAAGCAATATTTGCTTTGCTTCTCCATTGGAGAAATTGGTGTTCAAGGATTTTGTGTTGGGTGGCTTATTTGGACAGATTTTGTCGAATCGATACAGTAGATTGTGGCTTTGTTAGCGCCGTGTGGACCATTCCCTAAAAGGATGGAAAAGAGATGCTCATGTTCAGCTCTTTTTGCTAAAAAATTGGATGTTACAATCCAAACAAACTGGAGCCGCACGGGTATTTTGGAACAAAAAATGAATGAAAGAAAGACCATTTGTTTTGACAGCTCATTAACTGACGTCGGGCCCTCAATCGGGGTCAATCAGCTAGCCTAGCAGGATTACACGTCAATTTGGGGGGTCACTGTCAATTTAATTAGCATAAATTAGTTTGCTCCTAAGGAAAGTAGTTAAAAGAAGACTGTGAAGCGACGTATAAAATGGAGATTTAATCTCTTGTAGTTTGCAGTCATTGTTTCAAATTGAAAATATTCAGCAACCAGAGATTGAACTGCCACTCAAGCTGATAAAAAGATCCATCTCACACGTTTGGTAATTGAGGCCTCTTAAAGCCGTTTAGAAAAACGTCATTTACCACAATCAATCATCTTTCTCGTGAGAAGGCAATTTGAGTAGATTTAGTATGGGTTTTTAGACGTTGTTATCGGCTACCAGTAGGGACTAGCTTGTTAACAAGTTGGCTGTTATCTTCCTCCCCCCAAAATAGCATTCTCAGTTATTCTCATGTAACCATAAAAAATGGATTTTAGTGCTCTGCTAATAAAAGTACTCAACTAGGAGCCGCCAGTTCTCATAATCGTTATAGTGAAGCCTGGCAACTCGTAGATCCCGTCCTAGGTAGCATCAAAATTCGATTCACAATTAGCGCTACTTCTACCATTTCCCCCCCACCAGACAGACTTCAACTCAGCTAATCGTAAATTTCCAAGCTACACACTCGAGCACTCCATCATGCAATTAAACAAAATCAAAACTACTCGCAAAGACACCCGACTTAACGAACAACCCAACTACTACATGTAATTTAAGATCAAAGGTAAGGGCATGTAATGCGATGTGGGAGTGCACATGGGAAAAAGTAGATGCAAAATAAGAGCGTGGGTGGACATATTATTAGATGATAACAATATAATAATAACCAGTCAAAGGAAGAGGTCATTTATTCCATAGCTTAAACAGCATCATCCGGATTGTCACTGAAAAGCAGATTTGCCGCGAGGTCCTCATTCTTTTCACAAGCAAAGTAAGCCTGAATGACTTCTTCCTCGGCAAAACCGAGAGCTTTTAGCCGATCCACTGCATTCTTTTCCTCCTCTGTTAAGCGAATTATGTGGTGTTGTCGACCACCACCAGGAGCAGCCTCAGTTTCCGCACTAGGATCAGGATCCGAGTTGACAAAATCGAGAAAAGCACTCTCATTTTCTTGAATAGCCTAAGTTAACAAAAATACACTCGTAGAGATAAGAATTCGTTCAAGATAAAATTGTCAAACCAACACAGAACTTACGTTAATAAGTTCAGGATACGAATAAGACAGTTGTTGCATTAATTGAGTGAGAGCGGCAGAATTACCACGCAGAGCACGTAATTGCTGGAATTGGGGGAAAGTAGATAGCAAGTTCACGAGCTCCTCACTACTGAGACTTCGGAGTGATTCAGGATCCAGGCTAGCGGTTTGTTGAGTCTCAGGTGGCTGCTGCTCGATAGTACCAGTAGCCGGCTGAGGTTCTTCAGCAGGAATATTACCCGAAAGCAAATACTCAGCAGCACGATCGGGATTATTAAAGCTCATTCTGAGAGCTTGCTCAACCTGTTAATATCAGATAAGTAAAATGATCTGGAAATTCAAATGACTACATGTAATCAACTGAAGTAAAGCGTACCCGTGGACGTTCAAAACCCATTTCCATCAAATTTTGAATAGCAGATGTCAGTGATTGGCCAGACAGGAGATCAATAGACCCTGTTACAGGAGCACTAGGCTCAGGAGGATTAGATATAACCGTGGTTGCAGTAGGCGTTTTTGGAGCAGTACTTTCGGGAGCGGGTGTTGGTTCAGGCTATAAAATAAAAAAAACCAATGGAAGAAACACACCTTTTTAATGGGTTCTGGCTTGGGTTCCTTCTTTTCCGGTTTGGCCACTGTACTCATAACGACAATGAAATTTTTTTCTCCAATAGAATATTCCTTTATAGTCTTATCATCATCCATAACCCTTCCTAGATTTTAATAAGAAAAAATAAAAAAATAATACCTGAACATATCAACTTTAAATTTGAATCACCAAAGTCCTTTGACTGAGCTGATTTAATTTTTTCTTTAACTTCGATAACCTACAGAGTGAATTTAAAATACTTTGCCTTGCCTGTTCTGTTTCCTCGACATCTAAAACGAAGGTTGTGTTCTTGAGAGTCTTGAAAGTCAAGCGCATTTTTTATTCGCACACAAATCAAACCCTGCGGAACGCAATTAATGTAATTTTAAACAAGATCCAAATAAAAACGTACTTATTGACAAATTGTTAAATAATATACTTGTCTTTTGTTATATATATTTACAATTTAAATTAAATTTCACAATTCATTGTCCGTTATTTTTAATGCGCGATAAATATGTATCCTATGAGCACAAACTTATTATTTTTACAAAAATAAATGCTAGACCATAATCTATATGTAAATCTAAAATTTGAATTTCTTAAAACATTAGTTAGTGCATTTTTTTTGTAATATCACCCTTAATTTATAACTGCTGTTACAATCAAAATATTTTTCCATAACTATTGTTTTCAAATGCTTACTTATTTTATTGATCTTACAAACCTGTCTGACCATTTTCGGTATTTCATGGTATTTGCTGTTTTAATCATCAGTGGAAATATCAACTAGCATTGTCAGTAACAAATCCCTCGGAACAGTTCCAATAGCATATACATGTAGGGTGGAAAGAATTGTAGTGATATGCCTCTCTAATTGAGCTCTTATGTAATTAACAAAGAATTGAATTTCGATATATTAACGATTTGCAGAAAAGCTTATGTTGGTAGGCAACCATTGGCACAGTCGTAATATACAATGCTTTGTAGATAATGGTCAGACATAGAAAAATTCAATTACATGGTTGTATTACTTTCAAATAATTCTAACTTAATTTCATCAACTCAGACTCAAAACGGTACTAATAAACTGCAGTCAAGAAACAGGAACCTGATCAGGTCTCATAAAGCACATGTAATTCGGTGACGTTTACTCGCAGAGCCAGTGCGTCCAGAGTGAACAATCGTTTGCAGTTGTCTGATATGTTTTTATTTAATTCAATTGTCAGAGTAATCAAACAACTCTGTCAAACTATAAATCATGCTGCTGTCTGGTAAAAACTTCCATTCCACCTTCTGTAGCCAACATTAAATACTGATTACTCAATTTCATCTGGTCTTTTATTTCACCAAGCAGATTATTGTCAGTGAATTGTGATGGTTGCAACTGCCTTCCTTCTATAATCAATTTCTGTGGTGAAGATTGGGAGAGGGTGGGGCTTCAAGAAGATCTATGAAAAAAATCGGATACCTAACTCCTAGTTTACACTTCTAAAGAAACCATTCAGTGGTACTCACCCCCTCCCTGATGTTGATGACAAGCTACATTCGTTAACTCCGGTCTATAGGCACCCTTTGTGACTCTTAAGTCACTTCCATTTTATTACTCATGGGACTTACGATTACTCGATGTTATTTGCTTTCCAAGGTCAACATTTTTTCCTATTACTTGTTACAATAAGAATATTCTTGTATTAATCTCGAAAGAAAAATGCAAATTTTTAAATTGAACTAAAGCCTCTCTTGCTGCCGAAAATCTTCACAAACCGCTACTGGTACCATTGATCAAACCAAATTATCTTTATATGGCTTTCCATCTTGAAGCAAAAATGATTCTTGATAACATAATGAAATTTTTTATTTTTAGATGATAACCAATAGGTTTTAAAAGGGGTTGATTTTGAGGTACAAGAAAATGAATCTTATTTTTGATTGCTACTAAGTAATAACTGTGTAAGATGATGGCATTTATGAGAAATGACGTAAACCGACATTTCAAAAGTCTATGCAAAGAAGGCACTTTCTAAGAAGTGAATAAATGATGTAAACTTAGCAAACCTAAAAGTTATGGATTGTAAGCCTGAAGCAATTGCAAGCAATATATTTTTTAGTCAAATACTAATTTTAATAAATGATAATCATTTGACGAGCTTAATTTAATTCCCATGGCCAGTTTCAAGTACTTTGAAAAGTTTCACTTTGGGAAACACCCAAAATTATAGAAAGTGGAAGTTCATACAGATGAGTACCAAGCTTATGAACCAGTTACTTGAAGACCGGAGGAGGGGGGGGGGGAGGCGAAATTTGATTTTCTAGGTTACAACAAGGGATGCCCGATGACTTCCACTTTGAGAGCTGCACGCCCAAAAACTCAGTTTGACTAACTAATTGACCAAATATGAATAAGCGGATATGGATTTGAACCAATAAGCACTAACATGATGAAATACTTCCTATTGTGTGTTATTGAATTGTTCAAAATTAAGAAAATTGGTATTAATTTCCATCGTACATTATGAAGATTTCGAATCGAAAAATGACGAAAAGATTTGTTTAGAACAGAAAACGCGGTCATTTTGCTTACTTACTGACGATGAGCGTATTTTACATATTAGTCGCTTGAGGCTTCAACATTGTGAAAACGAAATTTAATATGTGAATACTTCAAATTATCTTGAATCATTCTATTGTCGTATTGTTACCGAACTGCAAAAATAAAATGTTGTAAAATACCTACTTTGTAAACTCTCTGTTTTGAAGAATCTCTTCAGGAAGTATAACCTAAAACACGGAATCATAATGTTGCCAATCAGGTAGGAATATTCACTGGCAAAGCAGCGCATTTACACAATTGATTAAAAAGGATGCCGAGTGCTCGGATCTTCGTATTCTACCAAAAATAACGCCGGTTAGATTCCATGTATCAAAGTGCCTTACCATGAGGCCCATTACTTAACTATCGACTTCATAAATATTGCAAGATAGGTACCTAATGTTCCATTTGATGTAAAATACTACATTTAATGCTTCTTTGCAACAAGATCAAATTTTCCATCGGATTCTAGAATGCCCCGTCAGTAGTAAGCTATTAACTGCAAGATCTGGGATGCTAATAATCAAAGAACCCCAAACTGCTAGAGAGTCAACCCCATTATAAACCCAGTTAGAAGACTGGGAAATGCTTGAATATGCAACTTTGTCTAAGAATGGGTTGTTTAATCTAATTTTAAATGATGACACACAAACAAAGGGAGGTTTCTAGGTGTAAAACATAAAGTGGCATTTTTAAAAGTTTGAGAGACCTCAAAAAAGATGGCGGCTTACACTAACACCCCATTATATTCATTGTTTATTCGACGTGAAATTAGATCAGTTTAGTTTTTACCAACGACGAAGTCCTCTCTAAAATAAGCTAAGAAGAATTTAAAATTCCTAAATAAAACAAATACATAAATAACCTGAATAACCTTGATAGAATGAAAAGCAAAATTGATTTTTGATTCTATTAATTTAATAAATTAGAAATGAAAACAGCAGTATGACATTAAAAGACTTACCTAAAATAATGCCGAACTATGCTTACTTTAGCAACCCCATTAAAGTTATTAAAATAATTATTAAATAAAATGATTATAAGTAAAAGTCACGTGAGAGAAATTAAATATAAAGCACATTGAAAGATTTGAATCGATGAAGTGTAGGTTAGAATAAAATAATACCAACATTCATTCTCGAAAAACATAATTACTACATAAGTAAAACTTAAGATATCAATTCAGGTGCTCCTACTTGGAACGCTAATGCGATAGTAGTCTGTTGTCAGCTCCTCCATGAGTTTGACTCTATCCCGTCAATTTCAATTTTTTTTAATTCGGAATGATTGTTTGTTTCAAAATGTCAATCTCTTGGCAATCAACTTGTAAACATGTTAAAATTTGAGTGGGGGCGTACATTAACATTATAATACATTGGGATCATATTTCTGTCTAAATAACATGCGAACCAAAATGTTAAAGGAATGTGTTATATGAAGTGAAATGTACTAAATTAAATAAGACGTAATAATGCTGATAGGGAAAAATATTACTTCTACCTTAGCAGCAGTGAAGTAAATAGGTATAGTGAAGAGAGGTTAGAAGAATTGAGCTTGGTGGTTGCTACATGCATATACCTTTATTTTGTTAGGAAAAAGGTTGGGAATTCGGTCAAGCAGAATCTTTGCATATGACAATATATAACTGCCAAGAAATTGACATATACCTTTATAGTTTGAAGCTGATATGAATTAAGCCAATCTGTTCATTTCAGTAAGTCTCAAATTATGCATAATAACGGCTTAGAAGCTCAACCTGTAATTTAAAATTGATCAGTCTAACGTAGATGTTTCTAGATATTTAACGACTGTTAAATTATAGGGCATCGCAGCACTTGTTACTACTGGTTGCCATCTTGTCCTGGACTTCAATGAATGGAAGGATTTTAAGTGTTTTTCTTTTTATATGTTTATTTGGCATCAAATAATGAACAGAGCTTGAGCCATATTTAATGTTTTAAGTACCCCTCAAACCGTTTTAATTTATCTCCTTACTATTCATTGGCGGAGACAGCATTTTGAGAGTGTTGGTTAGGTTAAGATTACTTATTTCTTCGATTTGCCAATCCATACGGATAAGAAGGTTCTTAATAGGAACTCTCGATGAAATAGTGTAGTAGAAATATATTTGTTTTTTTAATTGAATAGTTCGCTCTCCCGTTTTTTGCCCTATGTTTACTTAAATTGACTTGAGTGTTTCAATCAACTTGGTCTGCAGTGAACTATTATCGAACTTCTTACCATGAACGGCGAAAAGGCAAATGTATCACTGTGTCATGACTTGCGACGTAAATCAGTTCAAACTAATTGTTAAAAAGTCATGAAAATAACCAACATTAACGTAATAACAACCTATGTTCAAAAGGTAGAAATTTAAGGGACTAAGACAAAATACAATGAATATTATAGTAATGAATGAAGAAAAAGTTCGAATTTATATCGAACATCTACTAGAGCACCTTTCTTTGTAATTAAAATGCACACAAGCTATTTATTTGTCATGGTTTGAAAGAAGAACCGTAA